AAGATCTACTGCCGGCTGCACTCTCTTCCTTTGCTTGTTCAGATCTGCTCCCATACTCAGTGGTCCCTACCGAAAATCATCCTTCCTCCACAGGTAATTGCTGGCTGTTCCTTTAATTTTATTTGCAAAGATTTGCTTTGCTTATGCCCCGTGGACCCTACCGAAAATCCTCCTTGTCCGTGTGACTGTTGGCTGATTTTTTTTTTTACTTTTTATGTATGCAGATCTGCCTGGCTTGTGTCCGGTGGCCCACTACCGAACAGCCTTCCCCTGCCAAAATTATCTCCATGGCCAGTGACCGAGAAGAGCAATCCATGCCCACCGGATCTGCTTCCATGGCCAGTTCAAAGGCCACTCATTGCTTAAGATTACCTCCACCAGATTTGGTTAAACTCTTTCAAAACCAAAATCTTCAAGATGATGTGAACTGGGTACTCCAACAACAAAAACCATGCCATTCAAATCAAAATTTTGTACCTCATAAAAAATCCCAGATTTTGGGTCCATATTTTGTGTCTCATCCGCCGGCTTCTCTTACCCCCTTTTACCCACAGCCACAAGAACATTTTCTCCCTTTTCAAGTAAAACCTGACTAGAGTAAATGGGTTGGATCTTTTGGAGCTTGGCCAGCTTGGCGTAAATCAAAATGGGTGGACTGGATTGATCATTTGGAACTTGATTTTGGCCAAATTTGGAAAGATGTGAGTTTATTTGAATTTATACAACTCACCAAATGCAGATTCACTATGGATAAGCCGGTCTTGGGTTCGACTTTGTTATTTTGGTTTGGCTCTTTCAATTGTTTTCACTTTCCCTATGGAGCCATGTCTGTGAGCCTTTTTGATGTCAGTTCGTTAACTGGATTGCCTTGCACTGGAGAAGAAATTTCAGCACTATTGACCTTGCCTCCAGGTGTTGAGTACAATGCAGAGTTGAAGCCCTCTTATCCAGCTTTTGTGAGGTCTGCCTATGATAAAAGTAAGCCTGTCAGTGCTGATGAGTATATTTCATTTCTTCTTACTTTGATTTGCAAATATATAGTCTGCTCTGCTGGTAAAGTTCCCACTAAAAAGTTTATTCCCTTAGCTGCTGCTTTAGCATATGGTAAACACATGGCTCTGGGTCCTTTTTTGCTTGCTCATTTGTACAGGAGTTGCCAAGATATCATGGCTCATCCCTTAGTTATTAGTGGTGGGCCGCTTTGGGTTTTGCAATTGTGGTTGTATTCTTATTTTCCAGCACTCGCTCTTGTCTCATTTGCTGTTCTAACCCAGGATCTACTCACTTACGACTTCATGTTCAAGAATGCCGTGGAGAACAAGAGAAGCTTTGAGGAGTGCCTCAAGTTTTTTGCTTCTCTTTCTGTGGACAAACCTGATGCAGACTTTGTTGTGTTTCTAGGCAGATCTCACGGTCCTTCATGGTATAGGGCCGATGTCAAATCCCCAGATTTTCGAGCATTTTGGTCTGTTTGTGTGACCTCTCGGGATCTGTTTGTTGGCTGTAGTTTGAACACTCTCAATTCCAGATGCGGCATGGAGCTCTATGCACTGTACCAATTCTGTCGGCAGCTAGGGTACTGCCAAGACATACCATTCTCGCCACTATTCTCCTTCAACCACAGCTATCCTTTTCGGTTTATGATTGGGGATTCAAAGATTTTGATTACCAAGTTTGCTGACATCACAAACACTTTGTAGACAATGATCTTGCCAGACCCTCCATTTCGACTGAGCTGCACTTCCTCCTACAAAGGTTGGTGGTGAGACTACTTCCATCCTCGGTTCCTCGGTGTTATGGACAATATTTCTGTTCTGGCTCCTCCACCACTCACCAAAAAATTTGAAGAGAAGAAAGTTGTAAAGGAAAGTGAAGACCTGGAATCTGCCATGGCCGCCCAGATCAGCAAGCCAGATTTGCCAAGGAGAGCTCCCAAAACTCAAGTCAAAAGGAAAATTGCTACTCCTGCAGATTCCACGGAAGAAATTACTCCCTCCAAGCAATGAAGAATCGAAGGTAAATCCGCTTTGGCTTGCAACTTTGTGACATGTTCTCTGCTAACGCACTTTTTTTTCTTTTTTAAGGATCAAGAGGTCAGCAGTGAAACCATCTGCAGCCAAGAAACTTATCAGATCTACCTCTCCCTCGAGGTCCACTTCTACCATGGAAACCGAGACTCAACCTGATAAAGCAAAAGATATTTCCCTCGGTCTTGTTACCACAAAAGCTCCTGTTGAAGACATACCTGCTGAAGGCGGTGAAAGCACTTCTGGCTCCTCTCATACAAAATCTGGCGATGGTTCTTCACCCGCCACAAAGGTTAGGGGTTCTAGATTCTCCTTACGCATAGCAAACAAAAGCTTTAGAACAGTTAGACCGAATGAACTCATCGATCTAAGTCCAGACAAAGAGAATACCCTTACACCTGTAGCCTCCCCTGCTAGGCATGTTCATGTTGATGACATTGAGGTTGTTTCACTGTTCTGAAATCTGCTTAGATCTTGAAATCTGTCACCATATTTGCTAGTTGCCATTTTTGATCTTTTGTCTTCACATTTTGTAGAGTGTTGCTGCTGATGTGTACATGATTGATGATGATTTGGAAAATGAACTTCTTGCCCAGCTGGACATGTTGATAAATCCTCCGGCTAAATCTAGATCTGCCACAGATAGTAAGGGGAAGGCAGTTGCTGAAGAAGTGGATTTTGATATCAACCTCCCTACCCAGGAGCAGATTAGCTTTGCCATCATGACCTTGCAAGAGCTCCTTGATGGTGGTCCTTCCCATTTTTGCAAGGTGCCGGACCAGCCAGCCGCCTTTGAAGCAGCTTAGATCTTTAGTCGAGCTCCACAATTATCATCTACTCAACAAAAGTTCTGGGCAAACTTCACCACCATTTATACGCACTTCAGCAAGAGATTCCAGGTACTTGAGAGCAAAGTAGCGGCTGCAGAATCTGTGAGGAAATCTGTAGCGGATAGCACTGCCGCTGTCTTTAAGAAGAAGGAAGAATTCTTGGCAGCAAAGGAGGCTCATGTCACACAAGTTAAACATCTCCAAGAGCTTAAAGAAGAAATCTCTAACCTTGAAGCCAAGCTTTCAGAGTTAAGAAACCAGGTTCCTCTTGCGGAGCAAACCGAGAAGAATTTGGCAGATCAAAGAAACAAGCTCCGCGTAGACATGGAAGCTGGCTTGAAATCTACTGCCAAGATCAAGGAGCAGCTACCTTCTTTCACAGCCTCTACAGATGAAGCCGTTGAAGAAATCAAGAACATGAGAGAAGAATGGAGCACTTGGCAAAACAACCTTTATTGATTTTTCTTTTATGTATCTCCTTGTCTCTTTATTGGTTGAAATTGCACATTGTCATGTTTGAACTTATTGTTTGCGGCCTATTGGCCATGCAAACTTCTTTTTCAATGTTGATCTCTTTCTTGGCTCATATTCTGAAAATTTGCTTGTTGTACTTTTGTTCATACTCTGGTACAGGTTGAAATCTGTCATGGTCGAAATCTGGCCGCTGTGGTTGTTCACAGCTAGATTTGGCCTACTTACCGATTCAGCTCAGTACTTTTTATTGAATGATAAAATGCTAAACAATGAAATAAAATACTGTACAAATCCTACCTCAAATCTGTCTTAGGTAGAATCAATGGTATCTAAACCCCTAGCCTCCCATATCATAGGATAGTAAGGCTTAAGGTAGATTCCATTTATTTTTCGAGGATGTAACTCTCCATTTAATGATTCAAGCCAATATGCTCCTCCTTTAAGCACTTCATGTATACGAAATGGTCCTTCCCAATTTGGAGACCATTTCCCAAACCTGGGGTCTTTTTTTCCAGGTGGCAGAATTACTTTCCATACCAGATCTCCTTCTGCTAGACTTCTGGATTTTACCCGTTTGTTGTATGCTCGAGCCACTTTTAATTTCTACGTTTGCAGCCTATCTAAGGCCGTCAATCTCATGCCTTCAAGGTCTTCTAATTCTAGAATCATTGCTTCATTATATTCTCCAGAAGTGAGACCATGTTGAATTGCTATACGCAATGATCTAGTAGACAACTCCATGGGCAGAACAGCATCATGTCCATAAGTTAAAGAGAATGGAGTTACCTTGATAGAACTCCTTTGTGAAGTTTTGTAAGCCCAGATTGTGTCAGACAACAGCTCATGCCAACACCTTGGATTATCATCAACCATTTTTTCTAGCAGATTTATCACAATTCTGTTGGAAGCTTCAGCTTGACCATTGGCTTGAGCATAATGAGGGGTTGAAGTGAGTAACCTAAATCCCATTTCTTTTGCAAACGCCTCAACTTGTGCACCAACAAAAACTGTCCCTTGATCTGAAGTCACTGTTTCTGGTAAACCGAATCTGTGAATGATTTCTTCCTTAAGAAATTTAATAATATCGGTTTGATCAATCTTCTTCATTGGCTTTGCTTCCACCCACTTGGTAAAGTAGTTTGTGGCAACAATAATAAATGAATGCCCTCTAGTTGAAGGAGGATAAACTTTACCAATCAAATCTATGGCCCACCCTCGAAATGGCCATGGTTTGACAATTGGATGGAGTTCTGACGCTGGAACTCTCTGCAGTGGTCCATGAATCTGGCAGGCTTTTGCAACCTTTAGCATAGCTGATGCAATCTTTCAAGATTGATGGCCAAAAGAATCCATGTCTACGAATTAGCCATCTCATCTTAATTCCAGCTT